GGCAAGTTCTTAACAACTTACAAAGAGACCTAGACTCCCACACAATAATAGTGGGAGACTTTAACACTCCACTGTCAATATTAGACTGATCAACCAGACAGAATATTAACAAGGACATCCAGGGCTTGAACTCAGACCTGGAACAAGCAAACCTGATAGACATTTACAGAACTCTCCACCCCAAATCCACAGAATATACATTCTTCTCAGCACCACATCACACCTACTCGAAAATTGACCACATAATTGGAAGTAAAGCACTCCTCAGCAAATGCAAAACAACTGAAATCATAACAAACAGTCTCTCAGACCATAGTGCAATCAAGTAAGAACTCAGAATTCAGAAACCAACTCAGAACCGCACAGCTTCATGGAAACTGAACAACTGACTCTTGAATGTTGATTGGATACACAATGAAATGAAGGCAGAAATAAAGACGTTCTTCAAAACCAACGAGAACGAAGACACAACATACCAGAATCTCTGGGACACATTTAAAGCAGTCTCTAGAGGAAAATACATAGCAATAAATGCCCACATGAGAATAGTGGAGAGATCCAAAATTGACATCCTATCATCAAAATTGAAAGAGCTAGAGGAGCAAGATCAAAAAAACTCAAAACCTAGCAGAACACAAGAAATAACTAAGATCAGAGCAGAACTGAAGGTGATAGAGACACGAAAAACCCTTCAAAAAAATCAATAAATCCAAGAGCTGGTTTTTTGAAAAGATCAACAAAATAGACCACTAGCCAGACTGATAAAAAAGAAAAGAGGAACAACCAAATAGATGCAATAAAAAATGATAAAGGGGAAATCACCACAGATTCCACAGAAATTCAAACCATCATCAGAGAATATTACAAACAACCCTATGCACATAAACTAGTAAACCTGGAAGAAATGGATAAATTCCTGGACTCCTGTGTCCTCCCAAGCCTAAACCAGGAGGAAGCTGAAACTATGAATAGACCAATAACAAGGTCAGAAGTCGAGGCAGCAATTAAGAGCCTACCACACAAAAAAAGCTCAGGTCCAGATGGGTTCACAGCCGAATTCTACCAGACACACAAAGAGGAGCTGGTACCATTCCTTCTGAAACTATTCCAAATAATCCAAGAAAAGGAAACCCTTCCCAAATCATTTTATGAGACCAACATCATCCTGATATAGAAACCCGGCAGAGACTCAACAAGAAGAGAAAACTTCAGGCTAATATCCATGATGCACATAGATGCAAAAATCTTCAATAAAATACTGGCAAACCGATTGCAATAGCACATCAAAAAACTCATCCATCATGATCAAGTAGGATTCATCCTGGGGATGCAAGGCTGGTTCAACATAGGCAAGTCTATAAACGTAATTCACCACATAAACAGAACCAAAAACAAAAACCACATGATTATCTCAATTGACGCAGAGAAGGCATTTGACAAAATTCAACAGCCCTTTATGCTAAAAACCCTCAATAAACTCGGTATTGACGGAATGTATCTCAAAGCAATAAAAGCTATTTATGACAAACCAATAGCCAATATCATACTGAATGGTCAAAAACTGGAAGCATTCCTTTGAAATCCGGCACTAGACAAGGATGCCCTCTCTCACCACTCCTATTCAATATAGTACTGGAAGTTCTAGCCAGAGCAATCAGGCAAGAAAAAGAAATAAAGGGTATTCAAATAGGAAAGGAGGAAGCCAAATTGTCTCTATTTGCAGATGACATGATAGTATATCTACAAGACCCCATCGTCTCAGCCAAAAAACTCCTGAAACTGATAAGCAACTTCAGGAAAATCTCAGGATATAAAATCAATGTGCAAAACTCACAAGCATTCCTATACACCAATAACAGACTTAAAGAGAACCAAATCAAGAACGAACTGCCATTCACAATTGCTACAAAAAGAATAAAATACCTAGGAATACAACTTACAAAGAACATAAGGGACCTCTTCAAGGAAAACTACAAACCACTGCTCAATGAAATAAGAGAGGACACAAATAGATGAAGAAACATTCCATGTTCATGGTTAGGAAGAATCAATATCGTGAAAATGGCCACACTGCCCAAAGTAATTTACAGAATCAATGCTATCCCCATCAAGCTACCATTGACTTTCTTCACAGAACTGGAAAAATCCACCATGAACTTCATATGGAACCAAAAGAGAGCCCGCATAGCCAAGTCAATTCTAAGCAAAAAGAACACAGCAGGAAGCATCACACTACCGAACTTCAAACTATACTACAAGGCTACAGTAATCAAAACAGCATAGTACTGTTACCAAAACAGAGATATAGACCAATGGAACAGAACAGAGGCATTGGAGGCAACAAAACGTATCTACAACCATACAATCTTTGATAAACCTGACAAAAACAAGCAATGGGGAAAGGATATCCTGTTTAATAAATGGTGTTGGGAAAACTGGCTAGCCATGTGCAGAAAGCAGAAACTGGACCCTTTCCTGACACCTTACACTAAAATTAACACCAGATGGATTAAAGACTTAAACATAAGACCTGGCACCATAAAAACCCTAGAAGGAAATCTAGGCAAAACCATTCAGGACATAGGAGTAGGCAAGGACTTCATGACCAAAACACCAAAAGCATTGGCAACAAAAGCCAAAATAGACAAATGGGACCTAATGAAACTCCACAGCTTCTGCACGGCAAAAGAAACAGTCACTAGAGTGAATCGGCAACCAACAGAATGGGAAAAAATTTTTGCAGTTTACCCATCTGACAAAGGGCTGATATCCAGAATTTACAAAGAACTCAAACAGATTTACAGGAAAAAAACAAACAAGCCCATTCAAAATTGGGCAAAGGATATGAACGGACACTTTACAAAAGAAGACATATATGAAGCCAACAAACATATGAAAAAGTGCTCATCATCACTGGTCATTAGAGAGATGCAAATCAAAACCACACTGAGATACCATCTCACTCCAGTTAGAATGGCGATAATTAAAAAATCTGGAGACAACAGATGCTGGAGAGGATGTGGAGAAATAGGAACACTTTTACACTGTTGGTGGGAGTGTAAATTAGTTCAACCATTGTGGAAGACAGTGTGGCAATTCCTCAAGGCCTTAGAAATAGAAATTCCATTTGACCCAGCAATCCCATTACTGGGTATATATCCAAAGGACTATAAATCGTTCTACTATAAGGACACATGCACATGAATGTTCATTGCAGCACTGTTTTCAATAGCAAAGACCTGAACTGAAACCAACCCAGATGCCCATCGATGATAGGCTGGACTGGGAAAATGTGGCACATATACACCATGGAATACTATGCAGCAATCAAAAATGATGAGTTCATGTCCTTTGTAGGGACATGGTCGAATCTGGAGAACATCATCCTCAGCAAACTGACACAAGAACAGAAAATGAAATACCACATATTCTCACTCATAGGCGGGTGAGGAAAAATGAGAACACATGGACACAGGGAAGGGAGTACTACATATCAGGGTCTATTGGGGGGAATGGGGAGGGACAGCGGGCGGGGGGGGGAGCTCAGGAGGGATAGCCTGGGGAGAAATGCCAAATGTGGGTGAAGGGCAGGAAGGCAGCAAAACACACGACCATGTGTGTACCTATGCAACTATTTTGCACGTTCTGCACATGTACCCCAAAACCTAAAATGCAAGAACAAAAAAAAAGAAAAGAAAGTTCCAGAAAAAATAAAAATAAAGCAAACTAAGAAAATTAAAAAAAAAACAAAAAATTTAGCATTAAAGCCGTACATCCAAGGCTAGGCATGGTGGCTCGCGCCTGTTATCCCAGCACTCTGGAGACCAAGGCAGGAGGATTGCTTGAGCCCAAGAGTTTGAGACCAGTCTGGGGGCAACACAATGTGACCCACATCTCTACAAAAAGGAAAAAAAAAACCAGCCAGCCACAGTGGGGCACCCCTCTAAGTCCCAGCTACTCAGAAGGCTGAGGTGGGAGGATCACTTGAGCCCAGGAGATTAGGTGAGCTATGATCACACCACAGCATTTCAGTCTGGGTGACAGAGGGAGATCCTGTCGCCAAAAACAAAAAATAAAAAAAAAACTCAACATCCAGACAAGAAGATAAAGAACAAAGATATCCACTGTCACAACTTCACCCTACAAAAAAGAGAAACTGATGTTTTGATGAATCTATAGAATTCACCAATTAATCTACCACACATTGTTGTGAAAATGTATTCACTTTCTACAGTCAATAATGAAAGTTTTTTCTCTATTTCTCCATTTCTTTTCCCAGACAGCATTTCCAAAGGTGAGCCCTGAGATTCTTTTAAATTACTCCCCAAATAAGAACACCCTGAGAAACCTACTATGCTCACTCTGCTGAAGAAAAGGATAAGAATTTTTAACAATGAAGTATATGACTTGATATTTTAATTTTCTGAAATCCACCTTTCACGGCCTTGGAAATGTTTTTTATCTTTCAAGCTCTACTGATGAAATGTACACTAATTAAAAAACTAAAATTGAAATAAATGAACATATCTTTCTAAGGCAGCAAACTCAGGGAATGGCAATGCTAATTAGAACACAGACATATCTGGCTCAAGTGTCAAGTCAGGTCACGGTATCATTTGGAACATTATCCTATCCCAGTACTGCTCATTAAAATGCTCAGGGACCATCCTCCCAGGAGATCCTGCACTGTGCCCCCATGGACACCGCAACTGAGTTTGCACCACCTCACTGGGGTGGGGTTTTTGTTTTTTGGTCCTTTGGAAGTCTTTCTCCCTTCACAAATCTGAATGAATCCAGAGGGCAGGAATCATTAGTAACTGTTTTCTCTAAATACCAGCAAGGATTGGCTGACCAGCAATGTGTCTCCAAGGGATGAAAACTAGGTTTATATAAAATCTTTATGTCCCAGGGGGTTAGTTTTTTAGGTTAAGGGTGTCCTAGGAGATTTCTCTCAGCCCCAGGGCATCCAGCTACTCCGCTGGGGGGCTACACTTCCATACCTTGGGCGGTCCTCTAAGAGATGACACGGGGCTGACAGTCACTAAACACTCCAAGACACATGACCACTGTGGGCATCTTGAGTCATCCCAGACAGTTCTGAATCTCAGGAACTGGAAAAGACTGGACGGAGGGTGGCTACACAGGGCCCTGTAAAGTTTCCAAAGCAAAACCTGAAGTCAAAAGACATTCTTTCTGATGTCTCTGTGCCTAGGGAAGATGAAAGACAAAGAGGCACAAAGACTTTTTTGCAGTGCAGTGTCAGGGATTTATTCTCTGCTTTCCTCTCACAAGAAATGTATACCAAAGAACTCAAATCTTTAAAAAAGTGTCATCCGCTGCTCTGTGAAATAATGATTAACGAGTAAAATAATCTGAAATGTACAGGAAATGACCAATAGTTACAATGTAGTGAACTGGAGAGGGGAAACTAGTCTTTGGAAATATCAGGAAGAAACCGGAAATTTAATATTTTACTGCAAACCCCAGTTAGGCTGGGGAAATGCAGTGGTGGATTTCGGGCTCTGCGTGCCACCGTTAGGAAACCGCAGGGGGAAAACCAGCTCTGGGCAGTGTTAAGATGATTAACAAGCAGGCGATTATACGGAAGTGGTTCTAGTGCCCCGGGTTTCTAGGAAGAAAAACCAAACCGATGCATTTCTTGTAACTTACAACATTAGGGGAAAACAAAATTCAGACTTAACGATCCAGAACCCTTCAATTCAGCCCTGACGATATAAGCAGGAAATTTCCAGCTATATAGTCTAAATAAGGCAACTACAGAACTGTAACCCATCGGTTACTTAATTTGGTCTGCTTCCTCATGCACCTTATAAAAACCTTTCCTTCACGCCCCTCTGGAGACCTCCGAACCACAAACCAGGACTGCATGCTTCCCATGTCACAAATCGCTATTTGCTGAAATTCCTCACCGTTTTAACAGTGACTCCCTTTAATTCTTAATAGGAGAAACTGGGGACCCCACGGGGTACACTTTCTTCCTACACAAGAACCACACACAGAGCCCAGGTCTCCCCTGAGACGCTCCCGTCCTCACCGCACAATGCTGGGCTGCGGCGCGGAGCTGCCCAGAGACGGCTCAGGCCAGAGCCGAGGTCGCTTCGCGGGGACCGGACAGGATGCGCGGGGTCCCGCTGCCAGCTCGGCCGCCATCTTGCGGCGGAGGGGACCGAGGGCCGCGCTGCGCCCGCGAGGACTCAGAGCCCAGACCCCAAAGCTGACCGCGGGGTGTCCTGGGTACCCCCACAGCGGTTTCCAGCCGCTTCCGACCGCCCCCCCCGGGGACCCCCAACCCAGCAGACTCACCATTTCCCAGCTTCCGGGATGCCCTGGCGTCTTAGCCACGGATCTCCCAGTGCCTCCACGTCCCAGAGCAACAAAATCTCTCGTTTATTCTCAGAACGCGAATCCGCCTGGGCCTCCCAGAACCAAAGACTCGCAGTGGTACCAAGGAGACCCGAGCTCTGACTGGAGCTGACAAAGGCCCCCGCCAAATCCCGGAAGCCGCCCCTGCTCTCCAGCTTCACTCCTGATTGGACGGTTTCAACTCCAGCGCCCCTGATTGGATAAAACTCAAGGCCCCGCCCCCTCATTATTGGTGGTTTTGGGTTTTCTGTTTTTTTTTTTTTTAAAGGGAGACCCGCTCATTGAGGTGGTGCCCTCTGCTGCGGGAATTACAGCTAAGGGGTGGGCTGCGACTTGAAATGCATTTGCTCTTTCTCTTACCTGGTACTGCTTGTATAAAGCATCTTATTAGCTAATTAAGTTTAAGAAGAAGGACATTTAGACAACTTTAAAGCAAGAAAGACCCTCATCCTGTCCCTTAGCCCCTCTCTTACCACACTATGCCCCATTGCTAACGCCACCGTGGGAGGGGCCCCTCAGCTGGGAACAGAAGACCGTACACTTCACGTGTTTGCAATTAGGCCTTTGTATGGTATGAACACTGAACCAGTGCAAAAGCATCTTATAGGCGGCATGCAGACTGGTGTCCCAGAAGGATGTTGCGAGTGGTAGAACATGGAAGAGGGGCTGGTCTCTTCCTCTAATCTGCAAGCCTGCCCCCATCTTCTGGAGCCTCCATTCCGGGTAACTGGCCGTGTCCATCTGTCTCTCCCTCTCGATCCCTGCAAGCTCAGGGAAGAAACCTTGGCAGGCACAGTACTGGGAGCTCAGTTCCGCTGGGCCCTGCTCGCTCAAACTCAGTGGCCATGGACTCCTCAGCCCTATCTCCGGTGTGTGTGTATGTGTATGTGTGTCTATGTGTGTGTGGTGCAATCATGGCTCACTGCAGCCTCTACCTCTGGAGCTCAAGCAATCTTCTCACCTTAGTAGCTCCTGAGTAGCTGGGACTACAGGCACATGCCACCATGCCTGGCTGATTTTTTTATTTTTTGTAGAGAGGAGGTTTCACCATGTTGCCCAGGCTGGTCTTGACCTCCTGAGCTCAAGTGATCCTACCACCTCAGCCTCCCAAGTACTGGGGTTAGTAGTCAGGTCTCCAACTTCTAACCTCAAGTGATCTGCTTGCTGTGACCTCCCAGAATGCCCTATCTCTGTTTTTCCGGACTCCTATAGCTGGTGGCACTGCACCACCTCTGTTTTCAGATTCTCCTAGTCTTCTGGCTGAGAAGGGAGGGCAGGTAGGTGACAGACTGGGCCAGGGCCCTTGGCCCTCCTCTAGCATGGTTAAACTCCCACTTCGGACAGATCAGGCTCTGTGCCTTATTTGGTGAGGCATGTTGAACAATTGCTTCCCTCCCAAAAGCAGAAAGATCCCTAATTGCTGGCAGTCAGGATTCCATGCACTTTACTCAGCCTAGGGCCCAGCTGCCTCTCACCCTCACACCCAGTTTCAATCGCTGCACTCTCTGGCCTCCCTGCCACCAGATTAGGTGTAGACAATGGGTGTGGGGAGGGGCTGCTGACACCCCTGGCTGATCAAACCCCTTTCCCACACTGAGGGGAAAAACGGTGGGAGGTTAGGGGCTCCCAAAGGCAGCACTGCTTGTGACAGCTCCTCAGGAGTCCTTACAGCCATCTAAGGGGCTGGGCTGGAACTCAGTATCAACTCTGCCTGACTCCAAAGTCCATGTGCCTCCATCGGCCTCACAACTCAAGCATCTTCCCTAAGCCTTTGAAATCCTGGAAACTGACTCTTCTGCAATAGAAGAAAGATTCCTTTTGATTCTCATCCTTCTAGTACTCTTCACAATTGGAAATAATCTCCACCAGACAATGCTTCTGAAATCCTGGAGACATTTAGAATAATTTGGGGAAATGGCTAAAGGCTGGGTTTAAGAGATCAAGGCCTAACATTTTATTATTCATTTCTTACAATAGGAGAAATTTGAAAGCACTTAGAATGGGCTCAATATGTCTGCAAATTATTTTCATTCCCTCTCAGTATTAATAGGCAGTTGATGATTTCCAATATAGACTAATTCAAACTACTGTGCCTGAAACAACCTTTTATTATGAAAGCAAGAGATGCAAAGGTAGATCTGCTAAGAAGACATTTTCTCCTACCACAAGTTAGCCAGACAGCTGAGTACGCCTTAAAGTCAGCCTTTGATTTCAAACAAGCCAAGCTATTTGCCAAGGCCCCAATCAGATCACATGAGTGCTTCAGCTCCTTCATCGTCCCAGAAGGTTGGCCAGAGAAATGGAAGGTCCGGGGGTGGAGCAGTGAGACAATCTGCACTAGCAGGTGGGCAGCCATAGGTCCATAGGTGACAGTCATTCATTAGGTGGAGTGTTTTGGGGTCCTGATATTTATGACACAAGTAACATGTATGTTACTAAATCTAAATTATAAAACATTGCAAACAATAAATCCATATATAAACTAAACATGTCAGCAATTACAATTACGTTATTTATTATTATTCTAAGTATGATCATTATTGTGACCACAGTTAGAAATACTGGTTGTGGTTGCTGCTGCTGCTGCTGTGGGGATGGTGATAAAAACACCACGGAGTAAGGCTCTGCTGGATCCTCCACCTGTGGCATTGGGGGCTGCTGGCTCACTAGTTTGGTGCACACTCTGGACCTCTTTCATGAAGCTGAAGATGAAAAGCCTTCGGGCTCCGCTACGGCAGAGAAAGAGCCTGAGTCGAGGCTGAGAGAAGTAATCCTATGAATTCGAAGGTGGCAGGTACGACGGTCCTAGGGTGCAGTTGATGGTGAGAGGCACACACCACTTAGTGAATGAGTGGAAGCCTTTGGTGAAAGGCAGAGTTTGTCCAGGATGCTCATGAGATTCTACTTTCACCGATTGGTTCTCCTGGGAGCCAATCAGTGAAATAGACACATTTGCGAAGCTAGAAATAGAGGACAAAGATACAGTTGATGTGTTCCAGAAGCAGACAGGAGTGTCTACTGAGAACACACCTGCTGCTTTACCCCAGAACTCTGTTCCTACAGACCAAGCAGACATTCTCATGTGGAAAACTGCAATATGGTTCCACCACGGCCACTGGTCCAGTATCCCTTTCTCTATTCTTCACTTTCCTGTTCCTCATTTCTTTGTTGTACATAAATTATCGGGTGTCGCTGCACAAACAGCTTGTTCGCTTGCTTGTTTGTACTGAATGACCAACAGTCATTGTTTTCCAATGATCATTGAGTTACTAGTGTTTAGTGATTTCCAGTGAAGACAGGTGAGAGAAAACACTGGTTCTGTGAAAAGATTCCCTTTCTCCACCAGGGGGTGCTCACTCATCGTTTATCTCTATATTCAAGGACAATATAAAAAGCATCATGATCCTTTATTTAGGTTTGTTGGGGGCAGGAAAAAAGTCGGGGGAATAATCTTTGCCTACATTGTTCAATTAGAAATTTTTATTTTTAAAAATATATCATGTAAAGCTAAGGACAATTTTATAACTTTTTTAATGCAGCTGCTTATCCATAGGGCAAATCCGTCCTAACACAGGACTAAAGTGACAATTAAAAGAACAGAACAAATCTTAGATATGTTCTTCTTCAAATCCAAGATCTAGTTGTTTAGATACATATCTTGTGTAAAATTAAAAACAATATATAAATAAAAACAGGAAGTTTCTCTAGCCATGAAATTTGTTCATTGGACTGAAAATGAGGAAGAAGGGGTTTCTGTCTGCAATAAGTTTGAAGTCCTCCCAGGGGCCAGGAAACTGTCCACACCCTCTGAGTCTAGCCCCCTCCTCTTCTGCCCAGGGCAGGGTGCCCTGTGAGACTTCCATGTCCTGGACCAGGAGGTACATGGAGGGTAGGAGGTTGTCTATCTCACACCCAGGCAGACATCCCTGGCCAGGGCCCTCTGGAAGGTATTCCCTGAGTCCCCATCAGCTTCCAGGGTCACACCCTTCCAGAAAAGTTATATAAGTGAACTGTTCTTGAAGGTCAACCATCCATGAATGATACCCAGCCATATTGCACCCTGGACAGAGGGCAACACATCTCATGCAAATGCCAATCTCTGTAAAGCTCTGTCTGCTGACAAAATCTGAGAGCCAAAACATGAGACGTCCTCTTTATGCTTTGAGGGAAAAGAGAACAGGCTAGAAGTGGTTGGTTGACACGTTCATGACTGCCATTGTCAGGGCAAGCTGAGAAGTGCACGAGCTCAGAAAAGGACTGCGCATCGTGACAAACTGGAGGGGTGTGACAGGAGATAAATAGAATATAGGAAGCAAAATGGAAGTTCTGCTTCATGAAAACACAGTACATTCTTTCCTTACAGTGAAGTAAAAAAGAAGAAGAAACAAACTTGAAGACCAGCTTAATTTTAAAAAGAGCAAATATATTCTATAACAAAGTCCTCATTAGTCTGTGGATGGCATATCTGTGCTTTCATGCAATGATTAGATGAAACCTGCTACCAGCGCATCAATCCAATCAGCAACAAAAGAATAAGCATTCCAAAAGAATAAGAAAAAAATATGACGTGGTGTGTACTCTTGCCACAGACATATGGGAAAGTCAGTTTCCATGAATTACCCTGAGAAGAAAAAAAATTACCCAGATTGAATTGGGGATGGGACTAATCACTCCTGGGATGATGAAATACACTCAAATAGATTAAAATGGGGCTTGTGCTGCTTGCTTATGTGAATGTGTGTGGAGAGAGAAAGAGAGAGAGAGAGAGAGAGAGAGAGAGAGAACTGTGGTGTTTGCCACTGAGTACTAGAAACACTGCCTACTTGAACTAAAGGAAATGCTCTGAGTTTAAACGAAAGTAAAGTCCTGTGGAACTCAGAATCCTCCCAGCTAGTAGGTTGCTCTTCAACCTCAGGTTTCAGTCTCAGCTCTTTTGACAGCAGCCACGCAGCAGATCAGCTGCTGTGGGTGGGGGACTTGGTGGAGGGTGCCAAAGGTTTCATTGGGGACCAGGCCGTAATTTGGGAGAATTCAGTGAAAGAATGCATTCCCGGCCACAACCGGGAGCTAAGTCCTTATTTGGGATCCAGAGGCAAAGTCGTCACTTCATTTCTCACCCCTCTGCTTTCTTCCCCACTCCGAAGTTGGTCACC